ATATATATATATATATATATATATATATATATATAAAAGTCCCACCTCAAAACTTTTACTATAAGAGGTTGTTTTGATGCCCAAATATCCTCAACTTGATCATCTCAACATCTAGATATATAGACATGAGAACAAAATGGATTTCAAGGTTTGAAAATAGAGCATCTTGTATCGTACTTTTTGACTGTCAATTTTCAAGATTTTCATGTTTTTATAGATCTACTTGGTCTACACTATTTTTTAAGCTTTAAATTTTATAATTAAAGATAAATATATATTTTAAAGCTATCACAAAAATTTCCAATATTGAAATCATATTTCTCATATCATCAATTTAGAAAGAAATCCTCCAAAATAAGATTTTCATGCTGAGTTGCTGCAGATGGATAATGGGTAATGGAGCTAAGATATCATTCTGGAATAGTAAGTGGGTGGGAAATTGTAGTTTAAAAACAACGTACCCGTTGGTTTTTGAGGCGACATATCAGCAATCAATATTGGCATCCCAGGCCTATGATGTGGAAGGAAGCGCATAGACTATTAATTGTAGGTATAATAGAGTACCGGATTCGTTGATAAAGTAATATACTGGGCTGCTTAGAGATATAAATGAAGTGAAACCTTATCAGGATAGGAAAGACGAGTCTATGTGGAAAGTAGAAAAGGAAGGAATTTTCTCGGTAAAATCAGCATATACCCTTCTCTTTCATGATAGGGTTTGTTGGAGCAAATCTCTATGCCGGAGAATTTGGTATTGGAAGGTTCCTTATAAAATCCAAATTTTCTTGTGGATTTTGTTTCAAGGGAAGACACTAACTACTGGTAAAGTTATAAAGAGAAGAAAGGCTATTACGAATGTTTCTATTCTTTGCAAGGAGAGTGATGAGATAGGAGATCATCCTTTTTTACATTATTCTTATTAATTTCATATTTGAGCTTCGATATACTGCGAACGGTGGGTTTTTCAATGGTAATGCCAAACAACCATATGAATATCTTAGATTGCTTAAGTATGGATTGTCTCCCAAAGTTGGGGAAAGTTTTGTGGGAGATTATTCGAGCTACGGTTTTATGGGAGGTGTGGCTAGAGCGAAATCGTAGGACTTTTGAAAATACAACATTGGATATGGATATGGTAAAAAGTAAGATCATGCAATCGATTTGGAGTTGGTTTTTGATAACCAAGGAAAGTTTTGGAGTATGAAAAGTGGACGTTGACATTAATCTGAATAATTTGGTGCTTCAAAACTTTGTAAAAGTGAGAACAAAAGGTAGGTGGCCTTCACCAGTGGAGGGGAGCGTGAAACTAAACTTTGATGTAAGCTCCAACGGTAATTCAGGTCCGGTTGGCTATAGAGGGATTCTGCGTAATGCAATAGGAGAAGTAATGCTTTGTAATGCTAGATCATGTGGAGAAACTATGGCAAATGAGGCTGAAATGGAAGCGCTAGAGAACATAATACAATTAGTGGTGCAAAGGAATTTTGATATGCTTTGTATCATTGAAGGTGATTCAATGAATGTGATTAATTGGTGTAATAAGACAGCTAGACCGCCATGGAATCTAAGGAGAAAGTGGATGAAGATAATGGAGCTTTGTGAGGGAATTGAAGTCTCAGTTTCAGATGGATTGGCAAAACGAGGGGTGACTTTGCATAACGTAGTTGTTTGTGATTCTTTGTTATCTTGAGAGATTGTAATTATGTTTGATTAATAAAGTTAAAGTAATCTTGTTGAAAAAAAAATACCAAGAAATCTTTGTGATAGCCTTAAAATATATTTTTATCTTTATTTATAAAGTTTAAAGTTAAAAAATAGTGTATATCGGCAGATCTATGAAAACTTGAAAATATTGAAAATTGATGGTTCAAAAATACGTTACAAAATACACTATTTTCAAAACTTGAAATCTATTTTTTTTCTCATGTCCATACATCTTGATATCGAGATGATCAATTTGAGGATATTTGGGCATCAAAACAGTTTCTTCTAGTAAAATTTTTGAGGTAGACTCTAATTTGATTGTTTAGAGCCTCAGCTATATATAATATTTTCCCTATATATTTTAGAGTTTATTTTTTCTTTTTTTTTCATATTTATGATCAACTTGGCTTAGATGATGAATCCCTAAAATTTAAAATAAAAAAAATCTACTTTTAAAGTGAATTCTAGAATGAGGCCGCACATGTACATATGAGTCTGGTGTCTCATAGAAACTCCATCCCTAAAATAAAGCATGACTCTTTAGTAAACTTTGATCTATGCCTGCCCTTTGGAGTAACTTTAGGACTCCAAATTTGGAGAATATAAACTCTTTAACGTATAGTATATCCTCAGTAAAATACTTTTGACAAATTGTGCTTCCATGCATTTTAAAAAAATAATGTCTCAAGATTGAACAAAGACCATCTAATTTATAAAAGGGAGATCTAAGAGTTAAAAAACTTTAAAAAAAAAAAAATTTAAAATAATTATTTAGGTGGTTACCAAAATTTGAGATTGAGAAAAATCCTACCAATTAGATCTTCTTCTAGTTATCTATACCAGACTGAATAGATGGTCCAATTGGTTTCACCGGTACTTTGACGGGCTTGGTCTGGAGTAAAAATTGGGTTTGGTAAAAATCAGTCAAGACAAATATTTCACTCGGCTAGTTCACATCAGGTTTCGACCATCCGAACAAAGTGGGCACCTTGTTTTAATATATTAGGTATTTAAAACTATTCTTCATATTTTTATTAATATTTTTAAGATCCGCCAAATTAGACTAATGGTTGGACTGGTTTTTACTAGAGCAGATCTCCCGACCAATGAAGTAAGTGCACACCATGCTCCTGCAGGAGCATAATTTACTAAGTAAAATCCGTAAAAATGCGAACTCACCGGGTTCAAGTAGAACGGTCCCGAGGAATAATGAAATTTGTTAGCAAGCTACTTATTTTTGCCAAAATAGTTTTTACTCCTGCAGGAGTATACTATCAATCTACAACTTTGGCCAAAACTTATAAGGGGGATATCTTTTAGATCCTAAACTTAGGGATGTTATCTCTAGAACCCTCACAAATTTCTATTAAAATAATAATTTAGATGGATCCCAAAATTAAAAAAAAAAAAAAAATCATCCCAAAATTTCAAATAAAAAAATGTCATCCCAAAATTTGAAAAAAAATTAAATAAATCAAATTAGTGCTTTTCCCAATGGGGAATAGATGTCCAGTATACTCTCGAGAGGGAGCGCTCCTTACTCACTTCTCGTCTTCCAGATTAATAAACGGGCAAGGAATAATGAGCGGTCAACTTTATTATGCGTTTGGAATCTGGGGGCTCTTCCTCTGGCGTGCTGCTTCCTCTGCGGTAATGGCGCTTGAAATTGATAGAATCAGCTCCCTCTCTAACGATATCCTCCATCATATTCTCTCTCATTTGCCGATCAGAGAAGTTGGAAGAACTTCAATTTTGTCGAAGCGATGGAGAGATGATTGGGCTTTTACTCTTTACTTCAATGTTGTCAAGGATCGTACCCCTGGATTTCTAGCTAATAAGTATGAATGGTTCACTCGAATCGATTGGGCCCTTCTTTTCCACACTGAAAACATTCATGGGTTTCTGGTGGATGTAACCCAGAATCCTGATCATATCGATTGCTGGGTGAATTATCTCTCTAGAAAAGACGTACAAGAACTTACAATGGAATTTGTTACAGACGAATATGTGGATTACGCTTTCCACCGCTCTTTTTTCTTCTGTACTTGCTCTCTGAGTCCTCCATCTGGCTTTAATCCCCCATCTGGCTTTAAGGGTTCCAGTCTCTGAAGTTTCTCTCTCTAAAACGGATAGAACTCGATGATGCCATACTTGAGTCGCATCTGGAGCACTTAGAAGTTGAGAATTTTAAAGGTCTCTCGCGAATCAAATTTGATGCTCCTAATCTTGTCCTTCTAAGTGGTTGTGGAAATTTCTGGGACATTAACTTGAAGAAGTGTCCCAACATCTTACATTAGGACCTTCTTTTAACTCTGGTGATTCAGGTCGCGAGTGGCTACGCTGTCTTTGTCCAATTGGAGTCAATTAGCTTGTATATCATAAGTCTACGGGTACGAGGTTTTTCCCTATTTCTGCTTACTTTTTCTGGATAACACTCTTGTTAATTATTTTAGAGTATTCATTAAGGAAGAAGTAGTTGATTCTTTTACTCCTCAGCACTTGTTTAGTAAAGATAAAGATGTACCAGAGGAATTACCTGCCACTTCGACTTGTCTGAGAGCATTTGATGTGCATGTGAACCTATATGAAGAAAGGGAGGTCAAAGGTTTTGTTTGTCTGTTAAAAAGCTTCCCTTGCTTAGAAGTTCTTCCCATTGAGATAACGTTTGAATCTGATTGTCATATAGCTCTCTTTGTGTGTTACCTACACTTAGTTTTTCATTTTTATATGTCATTCTGTGCATTTAGTTTTTCCTTTACGCACCGCGAACACGTTATTCCTTGTATTTTTGAAGTCTCAATGTGATAATTTCGATAGCGAAACTGATAAAGGTTACTGGAAAATGCTGTGCCATTCCGAGGCTTGGTTGGGTTGCATCAAGAGAACAGAGATCAAGAACATTACAGGATTTGAGCAAGAAATAGAAATGATTGCGTTCTTTCTAGCAAACACCAAAACACTGGAGAAGCTTATTGTCAAGATAGGAAATGGATTGGAAAGCCAGGAAGGGTTCGAGTTAGCGAAGCAGTTGAACTTCTTCCCTAGAGCCTCTAATCATGCTAAGGTGCAAATCATTTAGCCTCGCAAAAACTTTCTGATATTTTCAGAGAACTTGGAGGTGTCCCTAGTTTGGGTCCCATCTTTTTTGCCTCTTGTTAAAATTGCTAAAGAGTATTTTCTGAAAACTATATTAGTTTTTATGTTATTTTATCATGAGTGATGTAATAAGGTTGCACTTGTAAGTTTGTGCCGTAAGAAGTTGTAAAACTACTAGGTGGTTAGCAGTTATTGTTGCAAGTGAGTAGGAAATATGCTCTTAAAAATCTCTATTTAAAGAGAAGTGTATTGTGGGAAAAATTGCGTCATATGTGTTGAGGTTAATCTTGGGTGTCAAGATTGTTCTTCCTTTAGGTACCCCATTTTTCATCTTTGAATGGAAGATTAGTTTTTCTTCCACCTCATTTTGGTTCTCTTCTTCTTTTTATTTGGTTGTGAGTCTTGGGCTAGTGTGACATTGTTACACTAGTTGAGAAGCGGATTGTTCCACTGTTGTGGCATCCGTCTATCTCTACACTTACATAATGTGAATCTAATTCTCTATGTTTCAGAGGATAAGTATTTTGAAAATGATGAGTAATGAAACTTTCTTGTAACCATTTGTTTCTTCTTTCTAGTGAATGATTTAACTGGCATTATGTTAAAGAGATAATCTGTCCCCATTTTTTTCCTTGGAGCCGTCCTTCCATAGTCTCTCTTAATATTCATGGAACAAATTTCCAAGGGTAGAATTTCCTCGACATGATAACTAGCATGCTAGGATGATAGAAAAGCACCAATACAGCATTTCTGTTCACATTTTTGGATAATCAAAATTGCATCAAACAGACGATTGTGATCTTCCTTGAAAACTACCATGAGTTCCTAAATTTGTGCACTTAGTCACAGGTTTTTACCTGTGACTACTATATGAAGATAAACACCCTGTCACAAGTTTATCTTGTCCAAAATTTTTGTTGTATGTGCTTCATCAAGGACGAGGATGTGCTTGTCAAGCTTGGGACCGAAAAGCAGTTTTCTTTATTTTTCTTTCCTTTTTTTCCCCCACCCCTCCCCCACCCCTCAAAGTTTTCATGGATTTCTTCATTAGGGTTAAGAGAATGTATCTCACAAGTTTGGAACGAAGCAGACTCCTCTAAAGCCCCCAAAAATGGGGCAGGCGAACAAATCTCTCCATCCCTCAGTAAAACTTAGATACCTTGAAATACCTTCAAATCCTAATGCTTAACAGCATACAGAAAAGGGATTTTCCTCTCAATATAGGGGGCATGGAAAGTCAATGACATGGAACTTTTTGTGAATTTCATGGGGGCCTAGGATTAATATACATTCATTGTAAATTGTGTGAGTTAATAGTTTTATCTTTTCTCCTTAAATTTGCACTTAATTTCAGGTGCATGTAGCAAAGATGGAGTATTGAGTATAACAGAGACAATATCTATTGTGGACTTTAGATCTTCAGTTCCGATGCTTGATTCTCTTAGATCTTATTCCCAATTTGTCACAATTTGGAAGAGTATAACAATTTAATAAGCGTCATAGGTATTCAATCGTATCGAACTAAATTGTTATGGGTATTCAATCATATCGAAAGTTGGTGAACCATGAATATCATAGGAAAGGCATTTGATTTACCTCTAGATTTATAATTTGTCCATTTTTTAGTGGCTATTGTATGTGTGGCTTGTTTGAGAGTTTTAAGTGGTCAAAGGAGGTGTTACAAATATTCAAATTGAGGTATTCTTGGCTTCATAAGCTAATAATGCAAGCTTAATGTCGGAGGGGTTGAATGTGTTGTGACTTCCATGTACAAAAGAGAAATGGTCTCTTTTTTATAGACAATCCCATTTTACGTTGTGCATTTAGTTTACATTTTCACATTACTAACCTTGTGATTCCTTCCCGGTTGTTTTGACGGTGCAATATGTCCCATGGGACAGTGAAAAAGATGAAGGATAGTGCAAAATGCTTTGCCATTCTGTCAGTTGGTTCGGTTGGCTCAAAAGAATAGAGATCGATAACATTAGAGGAACTGAAAATGAACTAGAAATCGCTAGAGAAGTTTAATATCGAGATTTAGATAGAAAACTTTGGTGATGAGACATAAAACGAATTGGAGATCCAGATAGGGTTTGAGATAGCCAAGTGATTGAATTGGTTTCCTAGAGCCTCTAATCGGGCAAGGTGTGCATAATTTAGACTCACTAGAAAAGTCATATATTTTCAGAGAAGTTGGGGATATTCATTGTTTGATTCTTAACTGCCTTATTTTATATGACTCTTACATAATTTGAATTGTCATTCGCTATGCTTTTTTTTTTTTATTATTGGTTGTGTCATTCTCTCAGCTTTTGAGGATAATTGTTATCAAAATGATAAAATCCTTTCAAGTAAATAAATTATTTCCATGGTTGAAAGTTAAAGAGATAAGCTCTCCACATTGTTTTATCCTTTGGGACATCCTCCCATACTCTCTTTTAATGTTCTCAAAATGAGAATCCAAGGTTGGGATTTTTTGTGCAGGATAGTGCATGCAAAAAACTTCTCTCTCCCCTCTCCCCCCTTATCTCCATTACAAGTCTTTCTCATCCCTTTCTCTCTCTACGTATCTCCATTATAAGTGTTTATAGAAGATAACTCGTTCTTGCAATATGTAACATTGTGAATCTCACCAACTCTCATCTTTCATGAGAGAGTGTGAGTGATCTTAAGGGGTCTTTAACTCTTTTATCAGTATTGAGTCACAAGCAAGCAGATATCTATGAGTTGGTTAGTGACAAGATTGAATATCGAGAACCCGAACCGCAACCTAGAAGAAGCAACTGAGTTAGTAGACCACCTCAATACCTTGAACACTCTACCACTGGGGATGAACTAGATTATGAGCTTTCAACTTACTAAGAAGCCATAACCTGTTATGAAAAGAATGGGTAGATGCCATGAAAGATAAATACAATTTCATGAATCAAAACCATATTTGGGAACTAGTGCTTCTACCTCGAAACCATAACCATGTTTAGGAACTAGTACTTCTACCTCGAAATCGTAAAGCAATAGGATGCCAGTGGATTTTAAAAAAAAACTGAATTCAAATGAGAAATTAGAAAAATACAAAGCTAAGCGTCAAATTCTATGATTCAGTCAAGTGTTTGAATCCTATCATTTGAAAAAGTTTTTTTTCACTCTAAACCTTATATAATTGGGCCAAGTTGCACTCTAAACCATGTGCAACAGGCTTCTATAACCGGGCCTAAACCTTGAATAAATGGGTGAGGTCGTATTTTCACTCTAATCCTTGGATAATCTCGCTAAGATGGACTTTAAATCATCCATCACTCTTCCACCGTTGCTACGCCTGGGAGCCATAGTCTAAGGTAGCACTACGTGGTCTACTTTCAATATGGAACCTTTGGATTCTTCCAAGGAGGAATTAGGAACTACCTGAATTCCCTTGTCTAAGGTCCCTGGTTAAACTAATGGACAGCCGATTTCAGACCATCACATGGCCATGGCTATTACTAGGACTGTTAACGGCAAATTTGTTGGCCAAGGCTCAACAACAATGTAGGCCAGGTCCGGCCCAACATGACATGCATGGAATTTCTGAATAGGGCCTCCAACTCGAAATAACTATAATGCCCAGAACTATGAGAGTAAGAACCAATTCATCATCAGGCCTGAGCTTCAGGGTGTGGGTTAGCACCCCAATTGCCAATTTGACCAGAAGCTTTGGTGGGATCGACACATGGTGTGCGGTGTGCCCGGATCTGGATTTGCTACTTTATGAGATTGAATCGGGTTGGGGTCGGAACATGAGCTTTAGGTTGGAGCAATAATTGGGATGCCGACTCCCATCTTGGTCCTAAGTCCATTTTGGGACACCAATGCCAACTGAACTTGAGCTCAAGTCATGCCAGCACTTGGACTGTCGACCTAGGGCCAGTTTGGAGAAAAATGAAAAGAACTATAGAAAGGGATTTCTACAAAGAGACCATCTATGTTTTATATAATGAGGTCACAACCATTCCCACTCATTAGATGTCAAATTGGATGGCTTGCGGTGAGTCAAGAAATTTAATAATATTTCTTTTCGAACTTTGTGTCTAATCAATAACACTCTTACAACTACCTAATTTTCAATGGTCTCTTTGTAGACAATCCTAGGAGAAAAAGGAACAAGGGTTTAAAATGTAAAAATTGAGAGAAATATTTTAATTACATAAAAGTGATAATTACAGAAATTTCCCTAATAATTAATACGGCTAATATTTATTCAGTCCAAGATAATATATTGTTTTTTTTTGGATAATTAAGGTAATATATTGTTAAACTC